TTCTTTTTAAGAAAAAAACCTATCTACATTGATGCCTCGCTCGGGATTTGCTCTGCCTGACTCATAACCCTCAGTAACGAGCCAGCCTTCCTCTGCCCCCGCTCGGTCCCACTCTTTGAAACCTCCACGAGATTCTCGTACACGCCATACTGTAGGGCGGCAAGCACCAGATTCCTATTTCTTGACCCGAGCTCGAGCAGGACAGCTGTCGCGCACTCCTTGTTCTTCGGAGTCCCGTCCCGTATCAAATTCACGAGCGTTTCGATAAACGACAGGCTCCCGAGCTCCTTCCTCCCTTCCTGGCTCGAAGCCAGAACCAGCAGTATCGAGAGTGTCTCGTTCACCATCTCGATTTTTTCGTCACCTAGCATTTTTAGCAAAGGCTCGACTATACCGGCCTCGATGGCCCTCGACTTATTTCCCGGGTTCAGACAGAGGTTGAAAAGGGCAGTCATGGCATCCTTTTTCCCACGGATGGTCCCCGTTCTCAGTAGCTCGACAAGTGGCGGAATCCCGTTCAAAGTTCCGATTTTGACCTTGTTCTCGTTGAGCATCGAGAGGCTGAAGAGTGCGGCGGCCGAATTCTCCTGGGCCCCGACTTTTCCCTTTTGCAGGATCTCGATTATAGCCGGGATGGCTTCTTCCTTGTCCGAGATCAGCTTCTTGTTGCACTCGTCGATCGAGAGGTTTAAAAGGGCCGTGACCGCGTGTTCCTGGATTTTCGAGTCCGGGTAGGACAGCAGGCTCACGAGCCTCCGAATTCCCCCGGAGTTTGCGATTAGGGTTCGGTTATCGGGGCTTTCCTTGGACAGGAGGCGGATTTTCTTGACGGCCTCTCTCTGCTCGTCGAGCTTGCTCGACGAGAGGTTTTTCACGAGTGACGATATTTTCTCGATGTCCGCAGTCGAGTTGGCCGCCTCGACGCTGGCGGAGGATTTCTTTTTCGGGAGTTGGAATTTGTTCTGCTCACACCATTGAAGGATTAGGTTCTTGAGAGCGTAATTCGAGGTTAACGAGAGGTGGGACAAGATTTGGCCGGTTTTGGGGCATGTCCGGTGGTTCGAGTCCAGCCATTGCTGTATCCTGTCTCGTTCGTACGTCTGCAATTTGTACTCGACCAGAAAAATACGATTGACAAGTTCAGGTTTTCAGGATAGCATCTCAAGTAAGAAAAAACAGGGAAACTTACCTGGCCCGTGGCAACAATAACCGGGTCCGTCATAATCTCCAATGTGATGGGGCACAAGAACTCGTTCGGGACAGCAATGGACATGCACTTGGTGAGGGATTTGGGCACGTCCGGGTCGTCAAGAATCCCGTTTTCAGCCACGCCAGCTAACTTCTTGAACTTGTTGAGAAGGGTTATGATTTGCTGTGTGCTCTCGGCCCCAAGACCTCGCCTTTCCTTGACGAGCTTTCGGATAGCGAGAGTCTCCTGGGCAAGCTCGTTTGGCGTGTGCAGGGACAGCTTGTGGGCCAGCCGCTCCACGCTGGCAATGCTAGTGTTCGTCTCGTTGTTTGTGGAGAGGGCTACCATTAGGTCCATCGTGAGCTCGATGTCCTGCGTGTCGGTTCTTTTCTTGGCTCTTCTTAGCTGCATTCGCAATAATTCGACCTGAAAATTACACAGAGGGGAAAATCTGAGACACGTTCGCTTGTCCCAGTATTATTGTTATTCATTTTATTATCTCTTACACGGCTTCTTCGTTCCGATTTCACGATTACAGAGATATTACATGATTAAGATTTTGCGAATTTCGGCAAAAGGGCAATCTTTTCGAGGGTCGGAATTGTGCCATATCAAGAAGTTCAAGGAGAATAATAGTGAATTTACAAATTACAAACTTTTGGATTCAAAATCAATAGAAAACTACCTGTTCTTTCTCTTCATCCGAAATCCCGAGCTCCTCGTACGGCATTCCTTCAACGGCCTGGCTGATGTTTTCGTACACGCCATGAAATCGAACCATCATGGCCTCGCTTTCCAACGCCTGAAACCCCACCAGAACAGAAACAAATCTCTCGTTATTTCGAAACGGTAACGACAATTACAAAACAACAAAAAACCAAAAGGAAAAAAAAAAATATCCAACCAGATAAATCTTGCTGCCTCCATGGCACAACTTGAGCAGTTTCTTGGCAGATTGAAAAGCCCTTTTCAATCTCTTGAGATAAACGGTTCCCGATTCAGGGGCAATCGGCCTATCCACGTCCCTAATCTCCTCCAAAACCGGCAAGAAAAGCTTTAGCCTCCGGACAAGGATCGAGCATTCCTTCCTCTGCGTCCTCCTGTATTCGCCTATGGCTTTCACGGACTCGATAATGTCGATGATTTCTTCGGCCACGTTAGCGCCCGTTCGGGTGGCGCGCGGGCTCGATGGGTTGGACGAGGCTTCTAATCCCTGATCAATTTCATCGTCTAATTCGATTATTTCGTGATTGGTCACCATTCTTGATGTGTTTTTTTATCAAACAGTTGGAGTGCAAAGTTTTTTTTTTTTTTTTTTTTTTTTTTT